AGCTGAAAGTAGTCAAACTTTTCAGATGCACAGCTCAAATTAAGATCTCTAAATTGAATTATTATAGATATAAATAAAATTCAGCTGAGTGTTCCATGTTCAGTGAGAAAAAGAAGAGAGGATAGCTTTATTCTGACATTCATAATTATGTAACACAAGAACATAAAAACAGTCTGGTGGATCAGGCCAACAGCCCATCTAGTCCAGCATCCTATTCTCACAGTGGCCAACTAGATGAGTAAAATGAGACCTTTCCTTCTTTGCATCTGGTCACTCTATATGTAGTTGGGATGTTAAATACTCACCTCTAAATAATAACCTCTGATGCTTCTTTAGCATCCGTCAATATCTTAAGTTTTACTCGAGGCTTCCTGCCCTGCCAAACCAATCCAGGAACATCCCTCTGCCACCTCCTGAAACAATCCCTCCCATCCAAAACTTGCACTTTTTGACACAAAAGCAACATCCCCGGCAACACAGCAACCCTCATCCCCACCACAACAGCTCGGCCCAACCATAACAACTTCAGATTTGTCCATATTTCCCAATCGCCCTTCTCTTCAATCCAACGTCCTTCACAGTTACCCTTAAGTAAGGAGGTGGACCTGCCCTGCCAGACACCTAAACTTTGTTGTGAATCATCTGCTTTTTGCTGGCTGAGAGAATGGCTGTCTTTTAAAAGCACTGAAGTGTTGGATAATGGCAGATGAAGTTGATGGACTAGACGGAATTGGCGGAAAAGACTGGCAAGATCCAAGACCAGGGAGAAGAGTCGGTGGAAGAAGACTGGGAAAAGTTTAAAGACTATTTATAGAAATATTGTAAAATTAATGAATGTTAGAAGAACGTTGGAATGAAATTATATGGCTTCAGTAGAAATGTTATAAGGAATTAAGTATAAATAGATTAATAGAGTATTAAAGGAAAATAAGGTTAAAAGGTGTTAAGATAATTATAGGATAGAAAACAGGGGAAGATGGTAAGGAATTGCTGAAATAATTAATAGAAGTGGAATACAAAAAGGGAGGTGTGAGGAGGCCGTGGAAATATGGGAAAGAAAGATAAGATATTGGAAGTTTTTTCTTTTTTCTTTTTTTTCTTCTTCTTTCTTTTGATGTGTTTTTAAAGTGTTTTTGTTTTGTTTTGTTAATTTTTATGTAGTGTTTTTGTATTATAATGTATTGGTTTTTTTCTTTGTTTTTTCTTTTGTAAGTGTTTAAATTGTTGTAAAACTAATAAATATTATTATAAAAAAAATAACCTCTGATCGCCTCTGCTTCACCAATGTAAAGTTATAAGGAAAAAATGAAGTTATGTCACACGAAACTGCTCCATATTTCATGAAAGAGCTTTCCAGAGAACCTCGGTGAATGGCAAATTCCCGCTTTAAAATTAATTCAAAGAAAGCTATTTTGGGCTCCTTTCACAGTTTGCTCAAATATCGGCCTGCTCTCTTTCACAGTCCAAACCCCTCTCTTTTGCATGTCACGCTCGACTCCCAAGTCCCAGAAGTGTTCTTTTATCACTCCAGTTCCCATGAAATCTCATTATAGTCTGCAGCAGTTAACAGTTTATGTCATTGCTCACTGCAGCAACTGTTCTTAAATGTGCTGTTCCTGCAGAGAATGCTGTGAGCTATTCTTTCAAGGGCAATTACAGGCCAATTAATAAATAAAAGCACTTTAGTTTGTTTTGAAGTTGCTTGGTGCTGCTTATGAGGCCAAATGCAAGGATGGGAGCAAGTTCAGGGGAGAATCAGTCAGCAGGAAGGCTTTCCCTCCCTGGTTCTCTTTTGCTGGTGACATAAGAATATAAGAAGAGGCCTGTTCAGTCAGGCCAACAGCCCATCTTGTCCAGCATCTTGTTCTCACAGTGGCCAACCAGAGGCCTGTGAGGAAGCCCAAAACCAGGACCTGAGCACAACAGCATTCTCCTCACTTATCTCCCATGAATTTGTCTAAACCTCATTTAAAACCATCCAAGTTGGGGGCTGTCGCTACATCTTGCAGCAGCAAATTCTATATAGGTTAAATATGCATTGTGTGAAGAAGTGGCTCTGTATGCAGGAGGTCTCTAAGGCCATATTAATAACTTCTCCTGAAGCCAGGCTCTGAAACCACAAGTAAGTCCACTAGATTCATAGGACACTTGCAAGATGTGGAAGAAGTTAAGCAACCGTTCTTTCCAGTGCTGTCTCTTTTTTGTGACGTGTTTCCTCTTCTATGGTGATGCATTAATGCTCACCCTAAATGGAGATTGTGTTGCATCATCTGTTTGGATGCCCTTTTTATAAAGAGCCAAGTGAGAAACGTATTTACCAAATTATAATTAAAGTATCAGGGCCTAGAAAATTAGCTAGGGCTTTTTAGCTCCTTTTTAATATATGTGTGTAGGGACGCGAGTGGTGCTGTGGGTTAAACCACAGAGCCTAGGACTTGCCGATCAGAATGTCGGCGGTTCGAATCCCCGTGACGGGGTGAGCTCCAGTTGCTCGGTCCCTGCTCCTGCCAACCTAGCAGTTCGAAAGCACGTCAAAGTGCAAGTAGATAAATAGGTACCGCTCCGGCGGGAAGGTAAACGGTGTTTCCATGCACTGTTCTGGTTCGCCAGAAGCGGCTTAGTCACGCTGGCCACATGACCCAGAAGCTGTACGCCGGCTCCCTCGGCCAATAAAGCGAGATGAGCGCCGCAACCCCAGAGTCGGTCTCGACTGGACCTAATGGTCAGGGGTCCCTTTACCTTAATATATGTGTGTATATATTTTAGCTCCTTTTTAATACATGTGTGTAAAAATGCACACACAAAAAGCTCTGTTTGCTGAAAATCTTAGAAATAAATAATGAGATAGTTTGCTGCTCCTTCTTTTGGAGACCAGGTTATATATACTTTCGAGAGCCCTCCACACTGTTGGTTTTGTGTGTGGATATATTCTGCAAAATGTCATTGGTGCAATAATAGTGCATGAGTGGTGGGTTTACCCTGGACGGTCCGCACATCATACTGCTTTGTTAGTTGTTCCACAATGCTTCCTTGGTGTTGCTGCATTATTTCCATCTGGAGGGACACTGCTGTGCTACAGTGCATCCAAGGTGAAACAAAGCACCCCAGAACTTTAGCATAACCCTTCAACTGTCCCACTTTGAGCAGGACATTCTGGAATTACAGAACCTACCCTGGCTTTTGATGGGATCCTGGGATGTCCTGTTTTGGCTCTCATGAGAGTGTGGTACCAAAAGACAGCCATTTGGGAGGAGCTGTGCTCTCATGTGAGTCACCTGGCTCCCACAAAGATGCATGTTGACTCGTCACATGACTCGTGTGAGAGCACAGCTCCCCATAATGGGCATCCTGGTTTTCCTCTGCAGGATGTTGGAGGGTATACATTTGTGGTATGAAAAGCGATAGGCTTTCAATAGGAAGCTGCAAGATATGCACTGCCAGGAAACGAAGCAGTATATCTGCACACACACACCCCAAGCTTCTGCAGGTGCAAAAGCAAGATTGCATATAACTCTTCCAACCCACTGACCACAAAGTACAATAAAAAGGAAGCCTGGTGTCAGGAGTCCAGTCCCCGGCTTGATCACACAGTAAGCGTAGTTAATTAAAAAGGATGATTTATTGTCAAAACAAGCAGATAGCCCCAGAAGGCTCTAATACAGCCTCCAGCATCATCAGTCAAGATGACCCTTCTGAAGACTCCTTACGGTTTCTACAGAAGATATTAAACTTTCGCACTTTGCATCTGTTGCTTTGTTTCTGTTGCTTTGTAACAGCCCTCCCCTTAGCCGACTCTTAGGAGGGATTGGATCAGCTCCAATCTCTTCCCATTCTGACAGACTACTTTTTTCTCTGTTCGCGCCTATTTGAACTCCCCAAGAGCTTTGGCTGGGTTCCCGCCCGCTCTCAGTCATTCCCTTATCAACTGGCATTCAAGGGACGGGGGAGTTGGCACTAGCCGATGTTCATCCTGCATGCCAGTTAACCTTCTCTGCTCCTGGCTGCTTTCTTCAGTTGGCTGCAAACCTTCACTGGGAGCTGGCTCATTCTTGACACCTGGAGGGACCATTTGTCCTTTAAATGTGCCATATTCAAGCATTCATGTTCCCACCCATCCCCAGTAAAGAGAACTGCGATGCCAAGCGTGCTGAAACTGCAGCTGCAATCCTGCAGTGTTCAGCAATCCACGCGGACCGAGCCAGTCTTAACACACCGAAGCTGAGCTAAAGAATAAATGAGAAAGAATAACCTAATTCCTGAAACCGAAACTGCTGTGCTGACCACACTTTAGTGTGTATACCATGTAGAGGACATAGTCGCCCACTGCTATCAACAAGCAGCACTAGCTGCCAATAAATTGGTGTCCATCAAAGATCAAGTGCCTTTCTTCAGTGTAAGTGTCTCGCTTACTGAGTGTAACACGGCCTTACCTTTACAAAGTTATATGAGAGTTTACAGAAAGGAGATCTTCATGAAAAGTATTTGTCCTTTGGCCATTTCATTTAAGAACAAGATCTCGTTCTCATTCTGCTCCACTAGGCATCCTGCTATCACCTTCAGCGGAATCAAGCATGAGCCTTAAAACGCATCACCATTCCGTCCGGTGACTTGAAAGCAACCTGTCAGTCTTCCTGCGCTTCATCAAGGCCCATGCCTTCAATTATTAAATAATTCTGATTTCCCTGAAATAGATATGTAATTGCAGCCTGTTTTTATATAAATCTGTGTCTTAAATTAAACATTCATGCTGTATATACAATGGACAGAAAAACACAGAGGCCCTGTCCAACTCTAATGAAAGTTTAATTGCTAAGAGACAGTATTGAGTTTACAATTAAGTGCAGAGTGGAGATAGAAAAGGGAGGGAGCTTCCTTCCTGCCATTTAAACCCCAAGATCAGGACAGTTCATATCGGCACTTGTGTGGAAGAAGGATGAGCTGCTCTTATGTGCTGGAGAGCTGGTTTTTTAAGCTATCGCATCGTTCTGTGCCGTGAACAGATGGACAAGAAGGCGTCCAGTGATCTACATAGCTTGGGAAACATGGAGCTAGAAGAGATAGCCAGCAAAATATCTGATCTAGACAAGTGGAGAAAGATCTTTAGTTGTCATGGGTAAGTTTTTTTAAAATTCCTACTTAATTCTTGCATGTGCCTCTTGATAGGTCATTTTTAAGGTTGCAATCCTACAAAATCACATTCCGTGGAATTTGGTGGGGCTTACTTTTGAGTAAGGATGGAAGGCTCTGTCCATCTTTCTTCCCTTGGTTTCCCATTTTTCCTATTTTTAATTCAGTTCTCCACATTTCTGCAGCGATTTCTAGATTTTTCTTTAAAAAAAAAAATTCCCCATGAAAATGGATCAGACATTTTCCCCAATAAACATATATTTGCTTGAAGCTTTGTCTAATGTACACATTTTGGCAAGCGATTGCCTCAACATGCTACATTTTTGTATGCTACTTTCACTAATATATAAATTTTTATGCATCTATTAATTCCACTAATGTAAAGGTAAAGGACCCCTGGACCGCTAAGTCCAGTCAAAGGCGACTATGGGGTGTGGCGCTCATCTTGCTTTTCAGGCCAAGGGAGCCGGCGTTTATCCAGAGTGCACGAAAATGCCGTTTACCTTCCCGCTGCAGCAATAACTATTTAGCTACTTGCACTGGTGTGCTTTTGAACTGCTAGGCTAGCAGAAGCGGGGACAGAGCAATGGGAGCTCACCCCATTGTGGGGATTTGAACCGCTGACCTTCCAATCAGCAAGCCCAAGAGGCTTAGTGGTTTAGACCACAGCGCCACCCACTCCCTAATTCCCCTAATGTATGCATTTTTGTAACATGTGTCGGAGATTGCAAAATTCGAATAAGTAAGAATTTCAGAGGATGACTGTGGTTTGATTCTCATATTGTTTCTAATTTAATAGATTTGACTCTAAATGTGAACCGAGTCTAATTTCTCCCCCATCCCTACTTTTGAGTAAACATACATAGAAATGGAAGGCCCAGGATATGCTTATGTGACAGAAGGCGTGGTGGCACACACTAGGGTTTGTTTTTTTTGGGGGGGGGGGTTGGTAGAGTCTTTGCTAGATTTGCACTTTTAGCAAATCCATCTTGTTTGTTTTTATTTTTCAGATTGGAAATCAGCCGCACCACCCATCAGGTAACTTCCTCCCATCTTATTTCCCAGTGTTGTGATCTTGCCAGCAGCAACTGCTTTTAAAAAGATTGCTGCTGTATGAAAGAAATGCAGGTGATGACACTTCTAAAACGAATCCAGCAAACTGTAAAGAAGGCATTTCTGGAAGTGTATTCCTACACAGGTTTAACTCAGCTTAACTACTTCCAAACAAATTTTAGAGAAACGTTCATGATTGGATTCCCTGTGACGTAGAATACCGACAGTATACTGCAGAAGCGCTGCTGTGCATGCAGAAAGTGCCAAATTCAATCCCTGGCGTCTCTAGGTAGGTCTGGGGGAGATGGGACCCCTGTCTGAAATCCTGGAGAGCCATTGCCAGTCAGTGTTGGCAATATGGAGCTAAGTGGACTAATAGGTTGTCTCAGTATAAGGCAGTTTCTTAGGTTCCTAGGTTTTATCTATCTATTCTCATCTATCTATCTATCATCTATCTATCATCTATCTATCTATCATCTATATCATCTATCTATCTATCTATCTATCTATCTATGATCTATCTATCTATCATCTATCTATCGGACACGGGTGGCGCTGTGGGTTAAACCACAGAGCCTAGGACTTGCTGATCGGAAGGTCGCGGTTCGAATCCCCGCAACGGGGTGAGCTCCCGTTGCTCGGTCTCTGCTCCTGCCAACCTAGCAGTTCGAAAAAACGTCAAAGTGCAAGTAGATAAATAGGTACCACTCTGGTGGGAAGGTAAACGGTGTTTCCATGCGCTGCTCTGGTTTCATCAGAAAGGGGCTTAGTCATGCTGGCCACATGACCCGGAAGCTGTACGCCGGCTCCCTCGGCCAATAAAGCGAGATGAGCGCCGCAACCCCAGAGTCGGCCACGACTGGACCTAATGGTCAGGGGTCCCTTTACCTTATCTATCTATATCTATCTATCTATCTATCTATCATCTATCATCTATCATCTATCATCTATCATCTATCTATCTATCTATCTATCTATCTATATCTATCTATCTGTCTATCACTATCATCTATCATCTATCTATCTATGTCATCTATCTATCTATCATCTATCTATATCTATCTATCTATCTATCTAATCTATATCTATCTATCATCTATCTATATCATCTATCTATCTATCATCATCATCTATCTATATCATCTATCTATCTATCTCTATCATCTATCTATCTATCTATCTATCTATCTATCATCTATCTATCTATCTATCTATCATCTATCTATCATCTATCTGTCTATCTATCATCTATCATCTATCATCATCTATCATCTATCATCTATCATCTATCATCTATCATCTATCTATCATCTATCTATCTATCTATCTATCTATCTATCTATCTATCTATCTATCATCTATCTATCTATCAAAATCAAGCTTTTTTCAATCAATTTTCAAACACAAGAAGAGCCCTGCTGGATAAGGCCAATGTTTCCTTCACTCCAGCATCCTGTTCCCACAGTGCTTTTAACCAGATGCCTACAGGAAGCCTGCAAACAGGACATGAGTGCAACAGCACTCTGCCGCAACTGGTATTCAGAGACATACTGCCCCCAGCAGTGGAGATAAAAACATTTCAAACCTATATTAAAACATAACATCAATATATTTGTTTCTATATAACTTTTGCATGCCCTTCACGCAGTCTTTGCAGTCCTCCCTTGTCCTTTGATTTTCACATTTAGAATTGCCATTTTGCACGCACGCACGCACGCACGCACGCACACCCAGACACTTTGGTCACGTGTCTTTAGCATGGGCTGACACCAGAGGCAGATTTAGGGCAAAGTGCTCTCTTGCTGGCACCAGGGGTGCCAACTTGAATAAAGTATTTGGGGGAGGGAGCAGCTAAGCCCTGCTCCACATAACCACAAGACACGGTGCACACACATAATTTGACTGGCAATGTCCATCCACTTGAGGGTGGGTGGGGGGTGGATCCATCAAATATTTTATGGGGGTCAAAGGGACCTCAGCCCCTAGTAGTTGGCCCCTATGGCTGGCACACACTAAATTAAATGGCCTCGGTCCAGTATACCTGAAGGAGCGTCTCCATCTCCATCGTTCTGCCCGGACACTGAGGTCCAGCGCCGAGGGCCTTCTGGCGGTGCCCTCACTGCGAGAAGCAAAGCTACAGGGAACCAGGCAGAGGGCCTTCTCAGTAGTGGCGCCCGCCCTGTGGAACGCCCTCCCATCAGATGTCAAAGAGAAAAACAACAACCAGACTTTTAGAAGACATCTGAAGGCAGCCCTGTTTAGGGAAGCTTTTAATGTTTAATAGACTATTGTATTTTAATATTCTGTTGGAAGCCACCCAGAGTAGCTGGAAAACCCAGCCAGATGGTTGGGGTGTAAATAAAAAATTATTATTATTATTATTATTATTATTATTATTATTATTATTATTATTTTACACTTAGCTCCCAGCAGGAAATGCCTCACTGCCTTACATTTTGTGAACAAGATGGCAGTCCTCCCTGCAGGGCCTATGATATGAGAATCACTGAGTAGAATGGGAGTTATGAGGTCACCTTGCTCAATGTGGGATCGGCAAAGCAGGATGTAACTACAGTACCATCCATCCTCCACTTCAATACGCTGCCAGAGAGAGGTCCACCAAGGAAGTCCAATGGAATTTTTACTGTATAGGAAAATTCTCTTGATGATGAACTTCCCTGTTATTTCTGCCCTTTGTGCCCTCTGAAGCATCAAGGAACGAGTCCGGTCTCTTTTCTGCATGGCTGTCCTTCAGATACTTGAAGACATCCATCATGTCTCCCTTTGATCGTATCTTCCCTAGGCAAAACATACCCAGCCATTTGAGCCATTCATAGGACTTGCAATAGCCCCTTTAGGAACAGGCAAATTATGCTCAGTGTATTAGCATGTCCTTGTGTTTCTCCATGTATGTATTATTTTCCTGCCAGCAACTGCTCATGCTACATCAGAAGTGACTTCATATGGTTCTCCCTGGTTTTTAAGCCTCCTTCAGCAATGTCATGGGGAACTGCTTTCCAAATGGAGAGAAGGCTCAGAATTCCTACTTTACACTTCATGTAAGATGCCCAGCTGACCAAAAGCAGCCAGAGCCTGCGCCTTTAACGGCAGCTTGATCTGCAATAATCACAGCAACAGCAATGAGATAAATATAATCTGATCAAGCAGCTGTTATCTGCACAGGAGCAGAGACCATTAGAATGTTGGCAACACTCTCTGTGTCTGTTTTTTTGGCATGTCTGTATCTGTACTCTGCTACCTTCTATGCTCAAACTGGTTTACACCATAGGCAGCACACAAGCAATCTATTTAAACGTTTCCCTCTTCTTTTATCACTGAGAGGTGGTTGCTTTTCAAGTAATCCATTTCCCTGCGTGGATTGCTGCTACCTGAGCTGAGCAACAGTGTGTTTTGAAATTCTGTTCATTTAAATATATCAAACTAGTAAGTATCTATGTAAATGGAACAAATGTTGATAGAATGGATGTATATTTCAGGAAGTGCAGCAAAATAGTTGGCCATACAGCTCACCAGCAACTCCTCTACATTTTGAATCATCTATATATGCCATATAAACTTCAAACAGGTTCAAATTTCTATCCGCTTCCTGGAGTTTCATATAACAAAATTAAATAGCAATAATGCAACACAAAGTTAGGTTTGCTGTGGTAGCTGAAACCAGGGAATGCTATACAACTGAATTTTGAAATAAAAGAATGCATTAAATGAAGCATAAACCTGTGGTGGAAAGGAATAGATTTCTGGAGTGAAATGCAAAAATGGTTTTAGTGGACAAATGGCACAAATTAAAATTAACTAAGAAATGTATTTTTTTTCTATTTTTCTTCCAATATTTGTAACGATTAGCACATTTAACTTTCCAGGCCATCTGTTGCCACCCCATATTGTCCTTACACATTTTTACCCAACTCCCAGTTGTTAACAATTAAATGGCAATAATTCATTAACCGTGCAATCCAATATATATAAGTCCCATTGAATTCATACTACTATGAAACAATATATTTCCAGAGGAATCCCATCATCTCACATATCCATCACATATGGATGTCAGTCCCTTGCATGCCACTCTCAGCATATATTCCTGGAATTAGAGTAGATCTTGACATATATTAAAAAGGCAAAATGTTAAATTGATGTTCCTTTAAGTAAACCCAAAATGAAAAAGCAGCTCATTTCATATAACTCTCCAACCATCTCCACAAATTTCAAAAACTCATTCATGTAAGTTATTTGCATGAAAAACAGCCCCCGTCTACTGGGGGGGGGGGGAATTCCACTAAGTTCACATTTAGAGGCGAACTTTACATGGGAACCGGTATAATGCAATCCTTCAACAGTCACACTTTTCTGAATTTTACAATGCAGTTCTCCAGCCAAGTAATGTGTACACAAATGCTTACACTAATGTAGAGTATGCATAAAAATGCATTATATTCGGTTAAATTGATTTGCAGATATATATGCACAGCAGAATTGCATACAAACATTAGAAGAAATTTGCACTAAACCAGCTTACATTTTTTTGATTTAAAAAAAAAATGCAATCTGAAAAATGAGAAATTGAGAGAATCTGACACTGACGGTTTTGCCCCACCCTAGTGAGACAATGAAAGGGAGAATAAAAATAGAACAACTATTAACTTCAATATTTCTTTTACCAAGGCAGGGTTCATGCCTTTATTTCCAAAACCTTTCCTAGTGCTGTAATTTGGACAAGAGCCATTTAATTTCTAAACCAGAAGGAGAGCTCCTGTTCTTTGGTAATCCAGGAAACTGAGCCAAGGCAGTTCTCCTTTCCAAGTGTCACTATCACTAGGTAATTTTGCCTGTGACTACTTTCGGTCTATTGGAAGCTATGGAAAACAGAACAGCACTGCAGCAGGTCAAAAGATGGGTAGATTCCAAGTTGAGTTACATAGAAATATTGCAGGAAGAAGTTAAGAAGAGTCAACTAGTAAGTATGAAAAGTATTTGCTTTATTTTTTTGCCAAAAGAAAACAATCCTTTCTTGCTGGGAGTTTGAATTGTTTTGGGCTGTGTCATGCTCCACGGGCAACAAAAGCAATGCTTTAAAAAAAACATTGCATTGAGGGTGACTCTGAAGTAACATCAACATCTCAGTCCAGGACACCTCCCTGCATTTACCTGGAAGTACCAGGTAAGTTCCACTGGTTTCAGTGGAATTCACGTATAAGGAAATATGCTTACTAACACAACAGGTATCAAATGGCTAACTTTGTAAGCTGTAGTCTCTGCAAACCTACTGGCACTTGTTCCCTTTAAACACCTTGCACTGTTTTTAAATGATGTATTAACTTATGTGCACTGAAAAGAGATTTATATTCTTGACACGCTGGTTTGAAACAATATAGAAACCTTTCGTCTCCTTGCAGATACAAACCATGTTATGGGATGGGTTTTTGTGCAGTTCCTTCGTTTTAGGAGAATGTTTGCTACAAAAAGAAAAAAGTCAGAAAAGGTGGAGCCTGATACGAACGTATTTAGGGATATGCCGTATAGCTTGGTTTCTGTTTGTTTATATTGTTTATATAGAAGTGCCAAGACCACAAATCGGAGGATGACAAAGAGGACGCAGCTGCAGCGTCGCAAATGACAAACCCCCTAAACCAAAGCCGTTTCCCATCCAATATTCTTTATTCGATTCCCAAAGCTCTCATCGTCTCATCGAACCTCGGAGGGTGGCCCATCTCACTGGAAATGGCAGTGGTAAGCGGACCTTGTCAATTAAGTATGAGATGAAACTTAATCTCGCCAGAATTAAAGAGACACAGAAATCTTATCCAGGAGCACTGTTGGAATCAAGGCTGCAGTTGGCTGCTGTCAGAAATAATTTAAAAGGGATATAGTGGGGATTGGCTGTTTGGAATAGTTTTCGAGGCTGCTACTGGCCCCTGAATGTACCGTACACAACAGATCCTGCACTAGGTATTAAGCAATACAGATATGATGTGATATTTAACTTCCTTGTTCCAATTCTACTGGTGGTTTGCTGTGTTGTATCCAGGGCTAGAGGAGAAATTCAAGCCCTAAACAACAGTGTCAGAGAGCCAGTCGACCGCTGCCTCTGAAAATGGCTCCATTTGTGAATAGCCATTGATCGATAGACCTCCTGACAGATAACTCTCCACAAATTTATCTAATTCCTTCTGAAAGCCATCCAAGCTGGTTGTCATCGCTGCATCTTGTGGCAGCAAATCCCATTAATTAATTTTGTTTTGCGTGAAGAAGTACTTTTCTTTGATCTGCCCCAAAACTGCTGCCAGTTAATTTAGTCGGGTGACCTAGAGTTCTGGTTTTATCGGAAGTCATCACTTTCTTCACAACTGCTTAGGTGAGGTGTAGTAGAAAACCTGTCCCAAGCAATTTTTTATTAAGAAGCACTAAACATTCCCCTTGATTATGTTTTCCTCAAAGCACATTGGGAACCATTTATGCAGCCATCTTTTGTGCAAAATGGGGGTGGGTGTCATTATTATTCTATTTACTTATTTATTGCCCTTAGCAGTTGTTGGTTACCAAGTGACTTGCATTTAAAAACATAAACATTATACCATAAAAGAAAAAAGAAAGAAAAGTCATATAAAAAAATAATAGTATGCTTATGGTTCAAATTATAGTATGTTTATATCCCTCCATAGTTGTCCTTTCTGTAAACTGAAATGTTCCAAATACATTAACATTAGCAATGTTTCAACTGTGTATTGGAGGTTCATGAGCTGCAGTGAGATGATTTGTGAAAAGCTTGCAGGACATGCAAGTATATTTGTACTACTTACCGTGCACTTGATTCATATTTCTTTCCTCGCCACTGATGATGGAGACTGAGGACATTTTGACGAGGGCCAGATTATCGAGAAAGTTAACAAGACCCTGCCTGGAGGCTATGATTCTCATATTGCTCCACTGGCTTTGACAATGAAACTGTAAAGATGGTTTCAGAATATGAGTTTATTTATGTGCTCTGATTTGTAGTACAAGTACAATTTCAAGTGATCTGCCAAGAACCACAGTGATTTTCATGTCATCCATGAAGAAAGGGGTGGCATTTAAGAACAGCCGCATTAACTGTTTATCATTTGGAAAGTGCTCCAGTTCCCTGATCATTGTGGTAAATGCCTGTTTCATTCAGAGGAAGCCAGGAATATTAGCTTTCTTTTAATAAAGACCATATTTTTGTTGCTGTTTAATTCTTACCATTTCAAGGGACTACGGAGGATGTTATTTGGAAGCACATATCAAGTCTTCAGCTATGAATGGAAAAGAGCATATTTCAGATTCCACGAACCTTATACTGATTTGGCCTATGCACTGGAGACAGATAAGGTAATAATACCTGGCAGCCATTTTTATACTGGTAAGTGCTCAGCATGGATCAGGCCAATCCCAGCCCAGTCATGTGCTCCCTGGATGTTCAAGGGCAAAATCACAATCTATCTGCTTCAGTTGACCCCTGTCTAAAGTGGCTATTGGCGTCACCTCCTTTGCAGAATGGTGATAATGTAAGTGGGTTGTAAACCCCTTTCCTTATCAAGGGAGTTATACCAAGTATCAAACAGAAATGACATAGAGCTGGTTTACACAGCAGCATATGACTTGCACACACCCCCTCCATATGTACAGAAGCTTCCAATTGCCTAAAACAGCTATATGCTCTGAAAGTTGCCATAGAGGGCCCCAACCTAGCCTTAATACAGCTGCCCTGCTGTATTAAGCCCAGTCCTTGGTCTCTTGTAGGCATTGCAGGAAAGGGGGAGGGATGCACGACACATTTAAATCGCACAACATACTTGAATTATACCACACCAATCAGTAGCAGCCAGTGTGTGTCACAAGGTGGGGCTGCCCTTCCGACAGCAGCGTTGTTGTTGCTTACCTGGGCAGGGCTGAGCCAAGGTGCTGGCAAGGTTAGGGCGGCGTGGATAGGACTGCCATGACTGATCAGGCACTCCCATCGGTACATCACATGGCCCTGACCATGGGTCGGCAAACTAAGGTCCGCGGGCTGGATCAGGCCCAATTGCCTTATAAATCCGGCCCGCGAATGGTCCAGGAATCGCCACGTGGATCGTCAGTACATGGATTGCCAGTGTACACGTTCTTTCCCTCTCCCTCCCTCTCCCTCACACTGCAGCAGCACCACCTCCTCCCTCCCTCCTCCTGGCTTCTCCCTACCCTGCCTAGAGGAGGAAGGGGGCTGGGCTTTGTTGGTGCCAGCCCCTCTCCAGAGCCCTTTTGTGCGCCACTCACCTTTGTCAGGCTGCATTTTTATGTTTTAATGTTGTAGTTTTTTAAGTTGTATTTCAATCAATTGTTTTTATATCGGGTGTTAGCCGTCCTGAGCCCGGTTTTGGCTGGGGAGAGCGGGGTATAAATAAATTTATTATTATTATTATTATTATTATTATTATTATTATTATCCCTCCACCGCCGCTGCTAGCCCCTGCTGCTCGCAAAACCCAGGAGCAGGCCCTCTTCAGAACCCTTTCACGCACTGCTCATCGTCCCTCATTTATTCCCCCCCCCAAAAAAAATAGTCTGGCCCCCAACAATGTCTGAGGGACAGTGGACCAGCCCTCTGCTGAAAAAGTTTGAGGACCCCTAGCCCTGATCTTGCCATTGCTCTGCCTCCGTCCCGTCCAGATAAACAGCCGTGATACAGGCGTCGGGAGGGTCACCTGATCACACGTGTCACTATTGGCATGAGTAAATGTATGACGTAATTTACACAGAGCTTAAAAGGTAAAGGTATCCCTGACCATTAGGTCCAGTCGCAGACGACTCGGGTTGCAGCGGTCATCTTGCTCTATAGGCCGAGGGAGCCGGCGTTTGTCCACAGACAGCTTCCGGGTCATGTGGCCAGCATGACTAAGCCACTTCTGGCGAACCAGAGCAGTGCATGGAAACGCCATTTACCTTCCCGCTGGAGCGGTACCTATTTATCTACTTGCACTTTGTCCTGCTTTCGAACTGCTAGGTGGGCAGGAGCAGGGACCGAGCAACGGGAGCTCACCCCGTCACGGGGATTCAAACCGCCAACCTTCTGATCAGCAAGCCCTAGGCTCTGTGGTTTAGATCACAGCGCCACCCGCTTATGCTGTGTAAATGCTTTCTTTCAGGGAGGAGCAGTAGCTGTTCAGATGGCTGTTCAAGTGAACATCATTAAATACTTGTTGTTTGTACAAAATAAAGAAGAAAATATGCGCCTACAAAGGTACGGATGGGCCGGAGAGATATTTGCTTAAGCTGGATGGGTTTTGGGGATCCAGAAGGTGGGTTCCCAGACCACCTCCCATATGTGGCCCAGTGAATCAGTAGATTCACAGTACCTCCCAACACTTGAAAGCCAAGGAGCTGTTTTGTAGTCTTTCACAGGGAGATACTGTGGAATGCAAGCTGGTGTTGGATTCCAGCCTCTGTCAGCCCCAGCCAACATGGGCAGTGCTCAGGGAGCGTGGCAGCTGTACTCAGCGGTGCAGCTGGGAAATTTTTATACCGTGTACTTACTACCCTTACAGGGTAAGGGGTCTCTAGATTAGGCTTCCTCAACCTTGGCCCTCCAGATGTTTTGAGACTACAATTCCCATCATCCATGACCACTGGCCCTGCTAGCTAGGGATTATGGGAGTTGTAGGCCAAAAACATCTGGAGGGCTGAGGTTGAGGTCACGTGTATTACGTCGGCTGTGAAGCCCTACATAAGAATAAAACCACAATGGTGCCGCACCTCTGTGAGTTGTTGCAGGAGGCTCCAGCAATAATTAGCATTAAACCGGAGGGCATACTTCTCTTCTCAGCGTGCAGATGTAAAACAGAAGCTCCAAGAGGAAGACATGGATTGGATGAGAAATCCAAAAGAAGCACTGGAGAATGGAGAGAAGCAGAATGCCTCTGCCTTCCCAATAGTGGGGAAGGAGAGTTGAAAATAATGCAAATATATTTCACACCTGGCAACCAATGAACCCATTGGGTTTCAGATAGTACATGGGTAGACGAGTCGAAAAAGCCCAGGACACAAATTTTCACATCCTTCTAGTGGTTATATGGGGGATTATTTACCAGATGTAATGTATTCAGTGTTAACTCTGGAAGTGAATACTCAATTCTGACCAAAGTAAGCCTCCTGATGTATATTTTGCTCGATCAAATGGGGTCTGCTTTTGCTGCCCTGATTGTAAGCACATTTACTTAGGATCAAGCAGCCTTGTCTTGTAGAAAAGGATAATATACGTTCAAAGTAAAAATAAATAAAATGAGCATCTATAGCAGGCATCGGCAAACTCTGGCCCTCCAGATGTTTGGGACTACAATTCCCATCATCCCTATCTAACAGGACCAGTGGTCAGGGATGATGGGAATTATAGTCCCAAACATCTGGAGGGCCAGAGTTTGTCTATGCCTGATCTATAGCCATGTAAATGCCTGGCTGCCCCACTGCTGACCTACAAAAAGGATGCTGCAGTGATGAGTGTCAGCCCTGGTGGACTCTAGCATCGCCGTGCCAAGTGTGGATGCCTTGGACTGTTTGCTACTGCATTTGTCACCTGCCACTCTCTGGGTGGTCATTGGGGTGGAATCCTGCACTGCAATGGCCTGGGTTTAGCCCTCTTAGTGTCTCTCTCTCACAGTCTCTTTTTCTATCTGTCCTTGCAGTTTATGTGAAATAAGCCAAAAAGAACAAGAAAAGGCTCTTGCAGCAGCCTTGGCTGATATTCTGTGGGTAGCAGGAGAAGGTCAGAAAGCTACTGTCTGCCTTGTCACCAGTGATACTTATTTTACTCCCAGTATAGACTACAAAGCGGATCACTTTACTGAAAGAGTAAGTAAGAGAAGCTATGCTTTAAAAGACACAAGATTTGCAAGGGGAAATTGTTGGGTTTGATTCTAAAAACTAAGAAACAGAAAAACCCCAGAAACACGAGGACTATTGTATGTTGTGGTAGAAACAACAAGCACATAAAGATCCACTTCGCAGCCAGAGACTGGCTGAGATTTGCTGGCCAAGAAAAACCAACAGCATTGTGTGAATCGAGGTGCTATAATTCTTTCTTTTATAAGACGCCATAAAGAAAAGAAGGAACTCCAAACAGAGAGAAAATAAGTTAAATTTAGCATAATGTATTGAGCTATCCTGTGTGTGCAGTTAAATATCTTGAGGCCTGACCAGATGTTTCAGTGAAAGTAGATCAATAGAGTAGTATTTGGAATGGGTGCCACATGCAATGTGATCCAACTGGTCTGTAACACATTTGTCTGTGTGTGGAATCTCTGGGACTAAGATTTTCATATTCAAATCTCCCAAGAAAGGACAAGGTAAAACAGGTTTTGGTGTATAGTTCAATGAAAATGTTGGCTCTGGGCTCATCCAGAGGACCTATTTATTGAGCATTCATCGAGATTTGCTTACACAAAGTTTATGCAGCTGAAATTCTACTCAGTCTTTACTGAGCATTTGTTAGTATTTGTTTGCAGGGAGATTATACAACAATGAGCATTCATCCTGAATTCACCCTGACTTGGCTTCAGGGTCTTCATATGTCTTCCTGTTTATCATTTATTCATTCCAAACTTCTCAGTGCATTTCCCTGTTACGTTCCTAACCATGAAAAGATTTTTTTTTCATTGTGCTTGGGCAACAGAGCACTTCTATTGTGAAAATCTAAATTTCCCAGAATGCACCCGAATCCCTCCTATAATATGGCACCCCTAGAATGTGACAGCTGTGGAATAGGCAAATTAGGAAAGGACTTTTTTTTTTAATGCAACTACCAGCATTGTCATGCCTTTCTAGAAATCTATGGACCTACCACAGTTGGAATCCTGTGTACGGTTCTGGTTGCCACATCTTAAAGAGAATATTGTGGGTCTGCAAGAGTGGAGGAAGGGGAGACCAGCTGGTACCCATTGGGACTGGTAGGTCGGAGGGCAGGGCACCCAGCAACAGGTAAAAGCAGAGCCGATGACAGGTGCAAACAGCTGATTATTGGTTTTGTCCCCATCCTCCTCCCTGTTGATTAAGGAGGAAGAAGCTTGAAATATAGTCGGAGTCGAGAGTGGATTTCATGTTCTTTATTCAGCGCATAGTGGTGAGGAGGAATGGAAGTTCCCCCAGAATGTCTGCTTTATATACATTATTTACACAATGGGCCCCACGTGATTGGCTAATTCCGGAATTCTCCTGTAGGCCAATCAGGTTGCGGATTCACTTCCACCTGGAGCTGGATTGGGTGGCTCCTGTGGACCAATCAGCCTGCTGCATTCTGAATCCTATTGTTCTAGGACCAATCAGACTGCTGCATTCTGAATCCTATTGTTCTAGGACCAATCAGACCGCTGCATTTTGGATCCTATTCAACTCAGTACATAACAAAGCTGATAGGAAGTGTCTGGATTGGCTACCAGTATGGAGGCAGAGAGGTGCAGGCTGGCTAACAGCAAGCTGAAGATGGAGGGGCAGTGCACTATTTGCCTTACTAGACCAACTTCCACTAGGGGAAGCCAACATTATTAGGGGACTGAAGCAACTCTTTGAGGAAGTATGATGGCTAGGGCATGAGTAAGAATAGAGAAAGTAAAAGAGGGGAAAGCTCCCTCTCTCAAGATACCAGACCCTGGAGTCATCCAATGAAGCTGAACAGTGGGACATTCGACACAGACAAAAGGAGGTACTGGCACCAAATTCGCTGCCAGATGTGATGAACATCCATTTGGAACACCAGGGCTCTCCTTCTGTCATCCACCCCTCCTTCCCAACTTGCTGTAATTATTTGGAGCTCCAAGGCAGTCAGGGGAGGAGAAGAGATGACAGGACCTGGGAGGGGACGGGCAGGAGAAGTGAGGACTGCCTTGTCTCCTGCCGCATTGGTATGTTTAATATTTGCCAGCTTTGAATATGGCTGCCTTGACCCTTATTCCACCATCCATCCATCCCTGCACCCCGCTCTATCTCTGCATGGCACTAGAAGGTCAAAGAGAACTCAGGTGCAGATACACACAGGTACTAATGCAGGGGTCAGCAAAAATTTTCAGCAGGGGGCCGGTCCACTGTCCCTCAGACCTTATGGGGGCCAGACTATATTTTTTTTGGGGGGGGGATGAACAAATTCCTATGCCCCACAAATAACCCAGAGATGCATTTTAAATAAAAGGACACATTCTACTCATGTAAAAACACACTGATTCCCAGACCGTCCGCGGACCGGATTTAAAAGGCGATTGGGCCGGATCCAGCCCCTGGGCCTTAGTTTGCCTACCCATGTTCTAATGCTTCGTTATCTCTGTGCAATAAGGGAGCTGGAGAGCACAGAGCCTAGGCTGAAAGCGAAGCAGTCAGAGTCGTCTTCACAGAGCTCATGTATATGGAAAAGTCTGTTCAGGACAAAATTTAATTTAGGCTAAACTGTGCTCGTGTGTAATAGAGATGAATGATGTGATTACTGCGCCACCTGACCAGTTTTCCAAAATTTTATTCCTGTGTTGATGGAATTCTTAATGATCATTTTGCAGGTTCAGCTGTTTGACTTTTTTGAGAAGGAAACAGCTCAGCAGTTCCTCTGCGATCACATACACTGTGTAAGTTTTGGGGGGGGTGTATGCAGCATCCTTACAAATGTGTACTTGTGGCCAAGTTTTATGTGGCTTTTAACAGTACCTACAGGTGGAACTGCACACATGCCTGTTTGTTCGTACCTAAGTGCACCACTGTGTTCAGTGGGGATTATTTAATTTCATTTTTTCATTTCACTTTTAATTTGTATACCGTCTTTCTCTTTCACAACACCCAAGGCGGTTTACAAGCTGAAGAAACAAAGAATGTACACCTTAGAACAATCTAATCCAATACAAAAATGTGATAATAAAACATAACTTTAAAATAAGCAACTTGTATAAAATAAAGTAATATTCAACAATCCATTAGAATAGCATAGAATAATATTAAATACCAGCATATAAAAATTAAACAAATCCACTCTTAACAATTATAATAAATAATTTCCAAACTGTAATCAATAAAACAACGGCAAGTCACAGTGCAGAAAATAATACAATACAAATCGAGAAGCAGAGACTGGAGGGTGGGGCGAGGCAGGTGGAAGAAGGCCTTGCCTGATGAAGTCTCTCCCCTCAGAGTTCTAGATCCAAAGATTCAAAAATTGTTCTGAATCTCATTCTTCAGTAGATGTACTCTCAGATGACTGTAAATGGGGCTGCAGTCTTACTTGTCTTATTATACAATGTGGTAAAATGGATCTATCTTTTGTTCTGATCCAGCTTTTGGCTAATAAACCTCGACTGCATTTTGAATTGCCTCATGCATTTAGCACAATGTTCTTTTCCTCATCTCAGTCATCACAGATAGGTACAGCAGGTGGGACCTGCAACAAACCGTTACACTGTGGAGTGCTGCTGTTTAGGAAGCCAGTTGATGTCAGTACGCCTTTCAACCAATGTGCAGCGACTGGGCTCGATAACTGGTTCTGCCCCGACTGGGCTAGGCGACTGGAGCACTTTCAGAGACCTTCCAATCCTGGAAAACAGGTCCCAGTGCTCTGGACCCACAACTGTGCATTGTGAGCACCAGACTCATGCAGAGTATAAACAACGTGGAAGCTAGCTGTGAAGCATAACTCCTTTTATTTCTAATACAGTGGTACCTCGCAAGACGAATGCCTCGCAAGACGAAAAAACTCGCAAGACGAAAGGGTTTTTGGTTTTTTGAGTTGCTTCGCAAGACGAATTTCCCTATGGGCTTGCTTCGCAAGACAAAAACGTCTTGCAAGTTTGTTTCCTTTTTCTTAAAACTGTTAATAACCGACCACGAGCTGACCACCCAGGAGCTGGTCGAACTGCAGGCAGAGGCTGCGCAGGAGCAGGCCTCGCTGGAAGAGGAGGAAGCAACTTTCAATGCATTCCTATGGGAAACAGTGCTTCGCAATACGAAAAATTCGCAAGACGAAAAAACTCGCAGAATGAATTAATTTCGTCTTGCGAGGCACCACTGTAGCTGCTACAAACTAATGAACTACTGGCTTGCATGAGTCTCCCACTCAACCATCTAGTCACTACATAGATAAGACTGTCTCCACACAGGCAATCAGTCAGGAGCAGGAGAGTAGATGAGCAGTTTCCGCCCCCTCCTTTCTCAAAACATCAGATCAGGAGATTCTGTCAATGGGAGGGGTGAAAATAACAACAGTCCCTCCCTTCTATTTCCCCTGTTTTCTGTTCTCTTCCTCACAATTGTCAGTCAGCATTCCGTGGCCATTGAGCATGCTCAGTCCTTATTGGGCTTGGGTTTTTTTCCCCTTTGCCTGTACATATTATCTGGACTGGGGTTCTGCACTTGGGTTCCCCCACCCTTTGCCTGTACATATTTTCTGCACTGAAAATCCTTGGGGATTCCCCAAACACAGAAACCTAGAAAGCTGCCTTATCCTGCGTCAGACCATTGCTTCATCTACCTCAGTATTGTCTACACTGATTGGCAGCAGCCCTCCACGGTTCCAAGCAGGAGTCTTTTTTCCAGCCCTGCCTGGAGATCCCGGGGTTTGAACCCGGGACCTTCTGCATGCAACACAGGTGCTCTCCCACTAAGCTATGGCCCCTTCCCAACTGATGTCTTTCTTTTGTGTGTGGGTAATTGGTGCCATTCTGGTTAAATAAGCAACAGCCTGAACTCGCAGCCTGAACACCAGAAATCAAGGGGAGGCTCTGAAGATGTGTGTCAACATGAACGAGAGCAGTGGTGGACTTTGGTAATATGGGGCTTGAGCGAAGACAAAAGCCCCCCCCCCCCCGTTCTTATTTCCATAATAATTCATTAGGGTACAGTTGTTTTTTATGGATCTTCTCAGTAGCTACCTGTATAAATAGGGTGTTGTTGTTGTTGTTGTTGTTGTTATGCACACCCTCGGCTTGGTGCCCTGTGTGAGGAAACTACCTGCACTGCCCTGAATCTGATGCTGACCTGAGTAACATTCATCCTTCTCTTCTAATCAGCTGAACTGTGAAGGAAGTCATGGAGTGATTCTATTTCTGTACAGCTTGCTTTTCTCAAGGACATTTGAAAGGTAACAAAAATGTTCCCCTGCTTTATCAATAGATTTAAATTAAACAAAAATCACTGCGTCATCCTTTCTTTCTTCTTATCTTTTTTTAATTTAAGAATAGTTTATTTGCCACAGCATATATTTCAAACATTCTCATAATCATAAAAACCATAAAATAACACGTTGTGTGCTCCAACCTCATTAAATGGAAGGGATACATTATATCTGCAACAATTTGAAAGGTTCAAATGTATACTTCAAGTATTCTAAACTATGTTACCCACCCCAAACACTACTCCCCCATGTGCCTCACTAACTGTGTGTTCAATGAAACAGTGTAGAAGTTATCATTTTTCTTTTGGTCTCTTGCTACCTGCAATTTCCATGTTAGCTCTTCCAACAAAGCTGTCTGCCAGACCACTTCATACCACTTATCCATGGTCAACAGTTGCAATGCTTTTCATGTTCTGACTATGGTCGTTCTCGCCGCAGTCAATAACTGGGTTATAAGAACTTTATTTCTAATTCTTGGCGAGTCCTGACTGTACAAATTAAGCAATGCCAATCCTGGGGACATAGGAATTGTCTGCCTTGTAATCAAAGATATCTCTGCAAAGACATTTTCCCAGAATTTTTTTATTTTTTAACACTCCCACCATGTATGTCTGTTTGTCCCAATAGTGGAACACCCTCTCCAACACATAGGGGAGCTGTTGGGTTTTATATAAGTTAGACTTCTAGGTGTTAAATACCAGCAATTTGCGATTTTGAGGGCTCTTTCTCTTGTCATTTCCGAAATAATTTATACAGGGCTTTGATCCACAGCCCATGCCATGCCTCTTCCTCAATTTCTAAATCCCAATCTGATTCCCACCATTATATTATTCTGGGGAGGGAAATATGCCTCTATAGTTGATATATACAGAGATGATATTAATCCTTTCATTGCTATATTTTCTTCTACTATTATTTTTTGTATGTGGTTATTAATAATCTCCCCATTAAGTTGTTCTATAAAGTTATTAGCATTATGGCAGATACCAGCAGGCAACTGCCCTTGCTGTGCGGGCGATGTCAGCAAAGCAGTTTCTTGGACACTAGTTTCTAAGATTTCCTGTGCTAAGGATCTACAGTTCCTAAGTCCCTGATCCCAGGGGTGGAGGAAGGGGGCAGTGGGGGCGAGCTGCCCCAGGTGTCACCATTGAGAGGGGTGACAAAATGGCAGGCGGCACTCACCGCAGGGCCTGCAGCGCGCCTGAGCCACGTGTTTTAAAGACTCTCTCAAGGCAAATCTAAAAAAATGTAGTATAAACTCCAACAACTGGGAAACACTGGCCTGCGAGCGCTCCAATTGGAGAACAGCCTCTACCAAAGGTGTCATGGGCTTCGAAGAAACGCAAAGTCAGGACAAAAAGGGAGAAATGTGCTAAGAGGAAGGAACGCTTGGAAAACCCTCACCATGATCAACTCCTGCCCCAAAACCTATGTCCCCACTGTGGAAGGATGTGTAGACCCAGAATTGCCTCCACAGTCACAGACTCACTGTTAAAACCGTGTTTATGGGAGACAATCTTACTCGGCTACGAGTGGAAGAAGAAGAAGAAGAAGAAGAAGAAGAAGAAGAAGAAGAAGAAGACGAGGAGGAGGAGGAGGAGGAGGAGGAGGAGGAGGAGGAAGAAGAAGAAGAAGAAGAAGAAGAAGACGAGGAGGAGGAGGAGGAGGAAGAGGAAGAAGAAGAAGAAGAAGAAGACGAGGAGGAGGAGGAGGAAGAGGAAGAGGAAGAGGAAGAGGAAGAAGAAGAAGAAGAAGAAGAAGAAGAAGAAGAGGAGGAGGAGGAGGAGGAGGAGGAAGAGGAAGAAGAAGAAGAAGAAGAAGAAGAAGAAGAAGAAGAAGAAGAAGAAGACGAGGAGGAGGAGGAGGAGGAAGAGGAAGAGGAAGAGGAAGAGGAGGAAGAAGAAGAAGAAGAAGAAGAAGAAGAAGAAGAAGAAGAAGAGGAGAGGGTGACTGGAAATTACAGAGTAGCCAGCTTAATAAAGCATAGGGTTACTCTTGAAACATTATTGTTGTGTTTGAGTGGGCTGAACATCCTGCAATGTCTTATCAGCATTAGTAGTTGAAGCTAAAGCTGCTTGGGTGGCTGGTGTGTTTTGACTACTGTCAGCTTTATCGTCAAGGAATGCTGAATAAATTCCTTTTGACAGCCAAGGCCAGGGAGGCCTAAACTTTGGACAACTGTAAGCCTGAGTATAGACTGAGTGTAAGCTCCCCCCTCTGGATTATTCTGCAGTTACCGTCTTCAGTTCAACTAATTATTAGCTTGTTTAGCTTATGTAGGTAGCAACTTAAAATTTTAAAGAGGTTTTCTCACCGCTGCTGTATTGCAGTTGCCATCTTTGTAGTGTTACTTTAAAAAAAAATATTTGTCACCAGCGGCAGGGCAGCTGGACCCTTACAATGCTGGATTGGATGAATCCCAAGCAGGAATTAAGATTGCTGGAAGAAATATCAACAACCTCAGATATGCTGATGACACAACCTTGATGGCAGAAAGTGAGGAGGAATTAAAGAACCTTTTAATGAGGGTGAAAGAGGAGAGCGCAAAATATGGTCTGAAGCTCAACATCAAAAAAACTAAGGTCATGGCCACTGGTCCCATCACCTCCTGACAAATAGAAGGGGAAGAAATGGAGGCAGTGAGAGATTTTACTTTCTTGGGTTCCATGATCACTGCAGATGGTGACAGCAGTCACGAAATTAAAAGACGCCTGCTTCTTGGGAGAAAAGCAATGACAAACCTAGACAGCATCTTAAAAGCAGGGACGTCATCAGCATCTTAAAAGCAGCATCTTAAAAGCAGTGAGAGCTGGACCATAAAGAAGGCTGATCGCCGAAGAATTGATGCTTTTGAATTCTGGTGCTGGAAGAGACTTTTGAGAGTCCCGTGGACTGCAAGAAGATCAAACCTATCCATTCTGAAGGAAATCAGCCCTGAGTGCTCAATGGAAGGACAGATCCTGAAGCTGAAGCTCCAATACTTTGGCCACCTCATGAGAAGAGAAGACTCCCTGGAACAGACCCTGATGTTAGGAAAGATGGAGGGCACAAGGAGAAGGGGACGACAGAGGACGAGATGGTTGGACAGTGTTCTCGAAGCTATCAACATGAGTTTGACCAAGCTGCAGGAGGCAGTGGAAGACAGGAGTGCCTGGCGTGCCCTGGTCCATGGGGTCACGAAGAGTCAGACATGACTAAACGACTAAACAACAACAACCAGAGCATAAAGTTTTAGAACGAAGTTGGTATAAGGCTCAAAACTTAAGGAGAAAGCACGGGGTGGTTCAAAGCTACAAAGTGAACATTTGCACAAAGCCTTATTTCTGGAGGAGATATTAGAACACAATGGGACACAATGGAGGGAAGACTGATGGAACTGAGAGAAGCTCGTTCATTTTGTGACCAGGCATGTTCAATCTACTGCAGGGGTTGGACTAAATGAGTCTTTGAGTCCCTTCCAACTTTACAATTGATATTTCTGTGTGAACTCGCAAGCATTGGATCTGTCATTCTTACTGTGCAGCATACCCATGCAAGCTTTCATTTGGCAGTGCTTTTGGGGGGACCGCGTATAAAATCATACATACTCAAGAGGATCTGCTTTAATAGTACTGGATATGATGTTGACCTCAACTCTTGGAAAATCAAAGTGTGCCTGTGTGCCTCCTTTCTTGTTTTCTTCTGTCAGGCAGGGTGGAGACTAGCAAACAGACGGGCTGGTGCTGCCCACACCATTTAATTGAAAGTCCAAATTGACCTATGGGCCCCGAAAAAGATTCGTGGCCCCTGCTCTAACCACTACACCACACTGATTGTCAAACCCATCCTGTGCTGTGGGAACACTATGAGAACATCATCCATTGCTTCCCTGCCCTCCCACAACAGCTGGGTATAGCATATTCAAATGCATCCTATAGTCATCCTGGGATAGTTCAGTTGGTAGAGCATGAGGCTCTTAATCTCTGGGTCGTGGGTTCGTGTTCCATATTGGGTGAAAGATTCCTGCATTGCAGGGGGTTGGACTAGATGACCCCTTTAGCCCCTTCCAATTCTACAATTCTATCATTCTATGATCCCTGCTCTTCCATCCCTGAGACTGTAAGGTTGTATCCAAAGCTGTCCAAGCGGGTGGAAAGCTCATGCAGGGTATCTCCGCCACCCCCACCTCAAAAAGCCTCTCCAGATTTTCAGGGGAACCTACAAAACTTTGGGGCTGCGGCGGGAGAGGGGGATCCACCTGAAATCGGAGTCTGGCGTTCTGTTAGCAAAACTCTGGCAAGCAGGTTGACAGTGAAGAGTGACTCACGGCACCGAGCAACAATAGGGAACGCTAATTTTGTCTTTGTGCTTTGGTTGGGTAGGCTGCAAAAAGACCTTGACTGTACCACAACTCATCTGTTGCAATGCAGGCTTGGAAGCTTCATCTGCAAACAAGTAGGTGTACCAGGGGGGCAGCTGTGGCTCGTGGGGGTGGGTGGGTGTAAGCTGCCATGTTCTCCCAGCAGTGGTGTTGTGCTCGTTGGGATGGAGATGGGATCAGAGGGAGGCTGTGGTGGGGCAGTCAGGGTGGCAGTGGCGCTGCGAGGCTGCCACTGCTGCTAACCCAGGGCTCTGCTTTTTTTTAAAAAAAGAAAATCTTTATTAATTTTCACATAGACAAATATACACAAGTTACATAACATAGAAAACAGAAAATGATACAAATGAATAGAAACGATGAAATAAGAAAAGATAAAGAAACAAACATAAACAAATACAATATACTACACTTACATGACAGATTAAAATGTATAACTTCCAATAATTCTCATTATACTACTTATATTATCTGTATTCCTTGCACACGCGCGCACACACACACACACACACACACACACATATATATATATATTCCACTATTATATTTCATGTAATTCTTGGTTAACAGTATCACTCTATTTCTGCAAGTATCTTATTGTTCGTACAATACGTTTTTAAATATTCTTTGAATATTTTCCATTCCCTATAAACCTTCTGGTTTGGCACTGCTCTAATTTTTCCAGTCAATTTTGCTAGTTGCAGGTATTCTATCGTAAGAATTTGCCACTCTGTAATCGTTGGTTAGATTTCATTCTTCCAATTTCTTGCCACTGTTATTCTGGCTCTGCTAACCTTGCCACTGTCACTGTGGGAACGCCACGGGCTGCATCTCCCTGCACGAGGCATCACTATTGGACTTTATTTTCTTTAAGTAATGTTGTGAAGGCTGCGCGCCACGCCCAGTTTCTGCCTAGCAGCAGAGGTGGAGCTAGCTGCTCTGGCACCCAGAGCAGTGTGACCTGGGGTCGGGGCTAGTGTCCCAGGGGGTGGGGCAAGCATCCCAGGGGTGTGCCGCCCACGGCGAGCATCCCGGGGGCGGGGGCAATGTCACACACCCACACCCAGGATGACACCCGGGGCACGCTGCACCCACCTCACCCACCTTGCTCTGCCTCTGTCTATCAGTAGCAATATTTCAGGGGGTCCCAGGCACTTACCCAGGGTTCTGGTTCTGTTGGGGAAATCAAAGCACAATGGAAGCTGGTGTGATGGCCTGGGATTCGGACTCGGATGCTGAATCTGAGGGATCCCAGCCTGGCCAGGAGACCCAGCCTCCAGAACCAGCTGAGCCGGGGCTGGGGCTGGGGCCTGAGCCTGAAGGGTCCTCACCTGTGCTGGATCCTCAGGTGCAGGCACCAGCTGAGTCTGCTCTGGCCCCTGAGGTGATGGAGGACCCATTGCCTGCAGGTGCTCCACTCTCAGCCCCATCAGGGGAAGAGGAGGTTGCCTCTGGGTCCGGTAACCCTCCAGCCTCTCCTGAGCTGCAGAGGCTCAGGGCAGAGAGGCGGAGGGAACTACGTTCCTGCAGGAGGAGTGCTCCCCTCCAGGCCAGGAGAGGTGAGTCACCTGTGGACCGGGGCTGCCCTATGCCTTGGGGCAGATAAAAGCCAGTCAGCCCCAGTCCCAGGTTGCGGGAGCAATGTTGTTGCTAGCCTGTTCCTGCCTGCACCCTGTCCTGCTCTTCTGCCAGAGTTCCTGACCCCGACTCCCTGCCTTGGACCCAGCTACAGCTTTAACGGACAGCCTCCATACCGCACCATCAAACTCGAACTGGACTCGGACCTCGCCTCTCTGTTAGCCCCCAGCACCAGCACAGCTAGTGTCTTTGAGACAGGCACTTCCAACCTGTGGCCCTCCAGATGTTTTGGCCTACAACTCCCATGATCCCTAGCTAACAGGACCAGTGGTCAGGGATGATGGGAACTGTAGTCCAAAACATCTGGAGGGCTGAAGGTTGGGGATGCCTGCTTTAAGATATATGGTTTATTGTATACCTGCTTACACCTTCAGTGGAGGGAGTGCAGAACATTCCAACTAAACATCGGGAAGAACTTTCCAACAGTAAGAGTTGTTCCACAGTAGAACCGTCCCCCTCAGGAGTTTGTGGGCTCTGCTTCGTTGGAGGTTTTTAAGCAGAGGTTGGATGGCCACCTGTCATGGATGCTTTAGCTGAGATTTCTGAATTGCAGGGAGTTTGGCTAGACAACCATTGGAGGGGTCCCTTCCAGCTCTACCATTCTATTATATCCCAAGAGTGTCTCCCGTTGCCTCTCCTTCCCAGAATGGCTCAGTTGGTAGAGCATGAGATTCCTAACCTTAGGGTTGTGAGTTTGAATCCCACGTTGGGCAAAAAGATTCCTGCATGGCAGGAGGTTGGACCAAATGACCCTCATGGTCCCTTTCCAACTCTGCAGTTCTATGATTGCTGAACACTGAGGAACAAGCCGCTTTTGAGGTCAGCTTCTGATTCCCCACCTGAAAGCATGATTTGGGTCGTTTTCTCCTTTAGGCCATTCTGAACATCATCTTAACAGGCAGAGCTTGTCCACACGTGTTTAATGGGCTCCAGAAACTTGAGGCCGAAGGCAATGTGCAGAAACAGCTGCATGGTGTCTCGTCCCGCAGTGAGGTGGGCTATTTACACTGGAGCAAGGAGGAAGTGGAACATTACAGATTCCCACAGGTAAGGTAAACATGCAAATCAGTGCATAGGTCTTTTCAGTGCAGGTAAGCATTTGAGCTACAGGGCCAAACTACACGTAACATTAGCAATGTGTTTGAAGGAGCATGTTTTACCGAAGTGGTTTTATTTTGGAGAAAAAGCAGTCATGAGCCCCTAGTCCAGAACATGCTCCTGATCTGATCCAGCACCCCCTCCCAATTTTCTGCTTCCTGGTTGGGCCTTAGGTTACCTACCCCTGCTCCGGCTTATGAAATTCATGGGTGTGACTAAATTACATTATCAATTTCAATGGGTTTACTCTGAGTAGAACTTAGTTGGCGCCAACCCATTATTTATGGTCCTGTAGAACAGACCCACATGAGGAATCTCCAGCCCCAGTCGAAAATGCAACAGTATATTTAGCATTAAGAAAATTCAACAGTGTAAATAAGTTTGGGATGTAATAATAGAATACTGAATGTTTGTTTATGTAAAATATGCAGGGATTATGATATGCAAAATGAACCATGGAAGAGAAACAAAAAAATTCTGAGCACCTAAGACAAGTTGTTTGACTATGGCAACCAATTTTATTAAACGGTCATGACCGATTAACTCACACTAGTGCAACATACACGAAAAACAAGGACATTTCATACAGATGGCTAAAGCAATTTAAAATTAGACATGCATAAATAAAATTAAGTATTTGCCTTCGCCTGCATATTGACATTGGAAAGCTCTTGTTTCCTGCACCTAATAGCGGCTACACAAAATTTGGCAACATTGATCGTAATTTCAGGAACCTTATCTTCTACCAAGGCTCTCATACATTGGAGTTCTGGTTCATTTTTAAGCTTTTGTAGAACTGGGGCAATAAAGATCAGGCGTAGATCCTCGTAGTAACTACAGTGCAGCAATACATGCAGACTTGTTTCCACTTCCGATGAGCCACATGGGCAAACACGTGACTCATATGGTTTGCCATATGGCAGTCCAACACGGCTACCTATCTGTACATGGAAAGAGAAGTCATTGATATTTTAAGGATGTTTAAATGAGTATTTGAAATTGTAAAACAGAAAATTATATATATATGGAAATGCAACAATTAGTAGCTAAACCATATGTGATGATGATGGGGATGATTTATTAATTGCACCCTGCCCATCTGACTGGGTTGCCCCAGCCACTCTGAGTGATCGCAAATTCCTAGCAGCCAGTCAGGAAGTTTTTTGAAAAAGATGAAGATGTTGGTTTTCTTTGGGGGCTGTGTTTTCTTTTTAATGCCTTACCGCACCATGAGACTGTGAATGAAGTATGCCCTCCCCTCCCTAGGTTGGCAGCATGCTGAAAACTCCTAAATTGCCTGTTTGGTTGTGCAACATCAGTGGAACATACAGCGTCCTTTTCAGCACTAACAGGCTGCTCTTGTCCGACTGGAAAATGGAACACCTCTTTGATTTGTATTTTTATAATGGACAGCCCTCGCAGAAGACAACAGTGCATCTAACAGTAGGTAGGCACTTACCTTTACTGAAAGAGAACTTTTCACATGAACACTCCTGACATCCCTTCAATTTTATATGTCCATCAATGCCCTTTTTTCCACAAGTGATACTTAAATCCATTTTGGTGTGCTTTGCATGGATCAAATATATATCTATATCTGTATCTATATTTAACAAAAAAAAAGTTCTGTGGCCTTGCCTGCACCTTCTGAGTTTTAAACTGGCATACATTTGCATCCTGTGCTACATTAACAATACATTCTAAACTAAAATGTTCTTTAGATAAGCAGACCTTATGAAAACACCCATACAAGCAACAGTAAACAGCACAATAAGAGAGAGGGGGCAACTCTGAGAGCAGATCTGAAAGGAGACTCCAGCAATTAGGAGAGAGGAGAAGTACAGTCCCTGGGGGAAATTCTGAAAGCATTCTCAGTAGGGGAGAAAATACCCCCAATCGTTTTTTAAGCTATATAATCCATTAAGAGCCCAGTTCTTCTTCTTCTTTTTACTAAGCACTCAGTGACCATTGAATGTCAAGAAAGCCTCTATGTTTTTAAGATGTTTTATCACTTGTGGTTTGCCACCCTGGGCTCCTTTGGGAGGAAGGGAGGGCTATAACACATAAGGATATGTTTTGAGTCCCAGTGTGGTGTAGTGGTTAGAGAGTCAAGCTAGGACCTGGTATGTAGAGTTTGTGTGTGTGTTTTTAAGCTGCAGGCCCTGATCCAGATTGGGTCTGTGGAACAGGAAAGTGGGGTATAACCCTTTCCTCCTGCATCGTTCCCCCCACAAAAGCCCCCTCCCCAAAGCCATCTTTGGGCAATTTGCCCTTATTTTGAGGCTGTGTTTTTAACCCCATTGTGTCCTAGAAAGAAAGATACAGGAGCATATGGGGCCTGATCCACAGGATGCTGTCATATAATATATCAGTAATGTCTACACTGGGACGCAGGTGACGCTGTGGTCTAAACCACTGAGCCTAGGGCTTGCCGATCGAAAGGTTGGCGGTTCGAATCCCCGCGACCGGGTGAGCTCCCGTTGCTCGGTCCCTGCTCCTGCCAACCTAGCAGTTTGAAAGCACCTCAAAGTGCAAGTAGATAAACAGGTACCATTCCAGCTGGAAGGTAAACGGTGTTTCCGTACACTGCTCTGGTTTCACCAGAAGCGGCTAAGTCATGCTAGCCACATGACCTGGAAAAACTGTCTGCGGACAAACATCGGCTCCCTCGGCCCGTAAAACGAGATGAGCACCGCAACCCCAGAGTCATCCACAACTGGACTTAACTGTCAGGGGTCCTTTACCTTTTTTAATGTCTACACTGACTGGCAGTGGGTCTCAGGGTTTCAGGCAGGAGTCTTTTCCAGTCCCGTGTGGAAACTCCAGGAATTGCGTTTTGGGGGCTTTTGCATGCAATTCATGTGCTCTGCCAACTGACCTAAAGGCAGGCAGCTGAAGCACAGGAGAGGTTGAGAGGCGTGAGAAACACCAATGCCAGAAGCTTCCATTTTGCACAAAACAGCACACACACAAGCTTCTTTTCTTTTTTTCTTTCAGACACCCATTCTCATCACTGGGAGGAAAATCACCGTGAGGGGGACGGCGATGCGGAAAAGCGATTCCCTTCTGTGGAGATGGCCATCCGAACAAAGTGGGAGGGTGCTGCTATCAATTGGAACGGCGTGGTCCCCTTCTTCTGAATATAGCAGGTGCGGGTGCAGAGCTGGTCTGCAGGCTCTCTTGCACGGATCCTGCAGCCCAGGCCTGGAGGAAGAAGAAAGGAAACTGCTACCAATGGACAGCTCAATGGGCCTGCCAGTTTGGACTTCCAGCCTGCATTCGGTAAATAAATTAGGTGTGCTTATGGGATAAGCAAAAGACAAACTGTGCAACATGTGCACACACAGAGAGAGAACGCTGCAAGCTAAACACAGAACTGAGATCAAATCGGAGTATAGCAAGACAGTTTTACACACACACACACACACACACTGCTGTGAACTTTTGCTTCTCCCACCTCCTCATGGAAGGTTGCTGCCTGTCATGGAAATATAATTGGTGTGAAATGACTGAGGACCTAAAGTCAATTAGGAATGTTGGAAGTGACAGAATGAAGTCATGACCCTGCCGTTTCATATCTTCATGATGATTTCTCCCTGTTGTTGAAAATTATTACTGTTTCTGTTGTTGAATTTTTCTGCTGCCAGGATGCACAGTCTGTAGCGTACAGAAGTCCCAGCCCAGAGTTCTTTGAGTCAGAATGTCTGCAGTCCATTCCTAAGAAGCATATACATTTGGAATTCAATTTAATTAAGTGGCAATTACTGTGGCTGAGCATGGGTGAAAGGGCACTTTAAACATGACAAATACGTGAATCGACATAGAGTGATGAGGTTTAACAGATCATGTGAGTCTAGCAGTTCAACATGTGCTTTTAAAGGGGGGGAGAATCCTTTTTTAAAACTTTTGGAGGAGAGGGAGGTGATTCAGTGGGTTGGACACGGAAGGAAAAATGGATAGGATAATTTAGGCAAAAAAGATAGAGGTGTCCTTTTTCCTACATCAAATAAAATCCAAGTAGCTAAAAGCTTGGATACAAATGTTTTTTTTTTTAAAAAGAAAAAGGCTTTGTGAGAAACTTGCAAGAGAAACCTAATACAAATTAAGGGTGTGTCTAAGCAGTATTTAAAACAATTTGCACACGTGGAGGAAACTGGACAGTCGCACACCTTTTAAAGAAGTAAAAAGAACTTAAAATGTTTTGTAAACTAGGGCAGAAAATCAGTAGTGGCTTTGAAAATCACTAGATATGTTTTACCCCTTTTGACCTCAATATATAACAAGGGCACTGTAAAAATAAATGTCGAAATATATATATAAAAAAATTAAAATGTCCAGTAGCACCTTAGAGACCAACTAAGTTTGTTCTTGATATAAGCTATTGTGCACACGAAAGCTTATACCAAGAACAAACTTAGTTGGTCTCTAAGGTGCTACTGGACAATTTTTTTTAATTTTTAAATATATTTTGACTGTGTCAGACCAACACGGCTACCTAACTGAATGTAAAAATAAAGTATTGGTAATCTGCTATTAGGAAATAATAATGGAAAATTTGGCATTACTGGGTGCCTAAGAAAATTAACTGAAAAGACCAAGATGGTGTTTGTACTTTGCTTGATCACGGCAGCTGAAATAAATATAACCTAACTCTAGACAAAGTTGTATGCAACTAAAGCATGATTAATTAATAAGTATGTAAAACTTGATGACTTACGGATGTGTAAGAAATGGTAGATAACCTAATTTGTTGAAAACTGGTCATTCTTTATAGCACATAATTATATCATTGCCAAGCTTTTGGTTTGCTGCTTCTTCTTTTTCCAGCTTAGTTGTATTGATAAAATAATGTTGAATATGTCTCTGCTCGAAACAGAGGGAAAGATGCAATATAGAATCCTGCCACCCAGTTGTCTTCCTCTCCTCCCTCCATCTATGAAATCTACACCGCCACAACCGGAGAGCAGGTGCGCCCTATTGAGTTACTTGCAAGGCAAATACGATTCAAGCAAACTACATAATGTATGGTGTTACACAGCGGCAAGTCACCCACAAGGTGGCGCTCAGAACTGCAAACTTTTATCATTCAAGTCAACAATAGCAGACAAACCAAGGGCGCTCAGGTGTTGTTGATTCTGCTTAATCCATACAGCGAGCGATCCACTCCCAACTGTTTTTGGTGTGGCATTGTTTCTGGGAGCATGGCATGGTTTAATAATAATAATAATAATAATAATAATAATAATAATAATTAATAAAAATTACATTTATACCCCGCCCTCCCTGGCCAGAGCCGGGCTCGGGGCGGCTAACACCAATAAAATTTCAGTAAAAACATAATAAGAAAAAAGAAAAAGAAACAATTTAAAATGCAGGTAAAATGCAATTTAAAATACAGCCTCATTTTAAAAGTCAAAACCATAAGAAGAGGGAAACATAATGGTCAGACAGAGTCCAAACCAAAGGCCAGGCGGAACAGCTCTGTCTTGCAGGCCCTGCGGAAAGATGTCAAGTCCCGCAGGGCCCTAGTCTCTTGTGACAGAACGTTCCACCAAGTTGGGGCCAGTACTGAAAAGGTCTTGGCCCTAGTTGAGACCAACCTAACCACCTTGTGACTTGTGACTTCCAAAATGTTGTCATTTGTGGACCTTAAGGTCCTCCACGGGGCATACCAGGAGAGGTGGTCCCAGTGGCGTAGCGTGGGTTGTCAACACCCGGGGCAAGGCAAGTAATTTGCTCTCCCTAACCCGTGGATTTGCGCCCCCTAACCCTAACCCCCAGATGTTGCGCCCGGTGCGGCCGGCCCCCCCCTGCACCCCCCACGCTACGCCACTGGGTGGTCCCGTAGGTACGTGGGTCCTAGGCCGCATAGAGCTTTAAAGGTCAAAACCAGCACCTTAAACCTGACCCTGTACTCCACCGGGAGCTAGTGCAGATGGTAAAGCACTGGATGAATGTGATCCCACGGCAAGGACCCCATAAGGAGCCTCGCCACAGCATTCTGCACCCTCTGGAGTTTCTGGGTCGGCTTCAAGGGCAGCCCCGTGTAGAGCGAGTTACAATTATCAAGCCTGGAGGTAACCGTCGCATGGATCACTGTGGCCAGGTCGGGGCGGGAAAGGTAAGGGACCAACTGCTTAATACGGCAGAGATGGGAAAATGCCATATGCTGTGTTCAAGAAAATCAGGGGGAAAGCTCAGTCTGGATGGGGAATATTAGAAGCATAGAACTGTAGAGTTGGAAGGGACTCTGAGGATCGAATCCAACCTCTTACAATGCAGGAATATACAGCTGTCCTTTATGGGGTTTGAACCTGCAACCTTGGCATTATCAGCACCATGCTGTAACCCACAGTAACTTATACCCCGGGAGGCACATTCCCTCGAGACAGATGTCAACAACAATTTATCCATCTAAACCAATATTGTCCATTCTGACCAGCAGAGGTTCTCCAGGGTCTCAGATAATGGGCTTTCTTGTCAGCACCTACCCAAAAATTTTAGCCGGAGATGTCAGACCCTGAATGTGGGATGTTCTGCGTAGGAAGCATCTATGACACATACACCCTCCCCCCCAAAAATCATAAAGATTGCGGACTATGGGATTGTTATGGTAATTTAGATGTAGTAAAGATAACAGAGGGACGCGGGTGGTGCTGTGGGTTAAACCAGAGAGCCTAGGGCTTGCCGATCAGAAGGTTGGTGGTTCGAATCCCTGTGATGGGGTGAGCTCCCGTTGCTTGGTGCCAGTTCCTGCCAACCTAGCAGTTCGAAAGCACATCAAAGTGCAAGTAGATAAATAGGTAAATGGGAAGGTAAACGGCGTTTCCGTGTGCTGCTCTGGTTCGCCAGAAGCGGCTTAGTCATGCTGGCCACATGACCGGGAAGCTGTACGCCGGCTCCCTCGGCCAATAAAGCGAGATGAGCGCCGCAACCCCAGAGTCGTCCGTGACTGGACCTAATGATCAGGGGTCCCTTTATCCTTTACCTTTAAAGATAACAGAGCAAACTTTAATAGACAAAAGCATGAATATTACAAAGCTGCAGCATCCTCCAAATTATTATTTATTGTGAAGTGTTGGGTGGGGGTGTCACATTAACTATGTGGCCAAACAGAACACCTTCCAGCAACATCTTCCCTTTCCTTTTCGTGCAAACTTTTAAAATGTTCTGCGGATCATTCAGGTCACAGTTTGCCAGCTGTGCGTAATTGCCCACATGTGAATTCCCAGGTGGCATTTCGAAAGGCACTCTGTATTCCCCGAAGACCACGGTGTGGCAAGAAGAGATAAACAGAAGCAGGTGCAGATTTTGCAAGTTGCCGCTTTTCCATCACTGGATCCTGTATATGCAATAATACAATTAGCTACACAGAGTCCTCCTACCTTATACTGAACCAGACCTTTGGTCGATGTAGCTCAATCTTGTCTTCACTGACATAGCAGCTGCCCAAAGTTTCAGGCAGGAGTCCATCCCAGCTCTTCCTGGAAACGCCATGGATTGTACCTCAGACCTTCTGCATGCAAAGCAAGTGCTCTGCCAGTGAATCATAAAACCACAGTAACATAGACTTGGAAGGGACGCAGGTGGCACGGCTCCCTCGGCCAATAAAGCGAGATGAGCGCAGCAACCCCAGAGTCGGTCACGACTGGACCTAATGGTCAGGGGTCCCTTTACCTTTACCTTTAACATAGACTTGGAAGGGACCACGAGAATAATTTAGTCCAACACCCTGCAATGCAGGAATATTTCACCTAACGAGGGAGTCGAACCCATGGCCTTGAGATTAAGAATTGCATGCTCTACCCACTGAGCTATCTCTGAGGTACAGTCCTTCCCTGATTCATCTTCTACAGCAGGGGTAGGGAACCGAACCTTTTTGGCCTAGCAGGACAGATTTGTGTCTCCTTCCATGCCATAGGCCAATTTTGACAGGTAAGTAGGACCGCCCACCTGTCTATCACCTGATCGCATTATGATGTCAGATGATGGACAGGTGAGTGGTCCCACCCACCTGTCCAATGTAGCCTGTAGGGGTGGGGTGATAGTGACCAAGCAGGAATAAACTCCCTGGGCATAGGCTGATACACAGGGAGTTGAATCCTGCTTTCTGCAGGGTTCAGGTGTGCTAGCTGATCTCCTATGAGGAACCAGATCGTATGTCCAGTTGAAGCAGTTGTCCTGCAGGGAACGCACTCAGGCACCTGAACCAAGCCGGAGTGAACTCCCCACCCACTAACTGACATGTGGGGACCTCAACCCTGCTTTTCAGTCCAATAATTCAGCTGTGTCTCTACCTCTTAATCTCATGATCGTGGGTTCACTCCCCACACTGGGCAAAAGATTCCGGCATTGCAGGGAGTTGGACTATTCGATCCTCGTGGTCCCTTCCAACTCGA